ATTTCTGAGTCTTATTTAAGAAATCCTTCCATTTATCTAAGTTCATAAAACAAATCTCTCATTTTTTATTCCAAAAGTTTTTCATTTTAAACTTCATTTTTTAATCTCTCTGGAATTTAAGTTTATGCTTAATATGAGGTGGGGATCAAGTTAATTTGGTTCTCCATGTGGGTAACCGTAATTCCATCAGATTTAGTTATGAGTTCACCTGTTTCTCCCTTAGTGCTTTCCCTCAAAGCTCTGTGAATAGAGATGTTTGTTTCTGGTTCCTCTATTCTACTCCATTGCTCTATTTTCCAGTCACATTGCATTGTCATTTTCACTGCAAGTGTGTATGTGTGGCACTTTATGCAAAATCTTGATATTTGAAGGGAGTCTACCCTCCCCATACATTTTCCTTTTTAAAAATAAAATCTAGAATCATTTTGTAAAGTACCACAGAAGTATTACGCAATTTAAATTAAAATTGAGTTTCCTGGCTAAATTGGACAGGATGGATATAATTTCAAAAATAGGAACATGATACATCTCAATATTTATTTAGGAATATATTAAAGTCTTTCAGTAAAGGTTCCTACTTTTAATAAATTTTACATTTTTGTGGTTAGATTTATTTCTAGCTAATTTTGAACTTTTGTTGCTATTGAAAATAACTTGGGGCTGAGCACAGTGGCTCACATCTGTAATCCTAATGCTTTGGGAGGTGGAGGTGGGAGGACCACTTAGCCCAGGAGTTCAAAACAAGCCTGGGCAACATAGCGAGACCTCGTTTTTACAAAACAATTTTTTAAAAAATTAGCCAAGCCTGATGGCACATGCCTATATTCACATCTACTCGGGAGGCTGACATGGAAGGGTACCTGAGTCCAGGAGTTCAAGGCTGCAGTGACCAGTGACAGTGCCACTGCACTCTAGCCTGAGTAACAGGGCGAGATTCTGTCTCAAAAAAATAAAAAATAAATCACAGTCTGGGAGCAGTGGCTTACACCTGTAATCCCAGCATTTTAGGAGGCGGAGGCAGGTGGATGACTTGAGACCAGGAATTGGAGACCAGCCTGGCCAACATGGTGAACCCTCATCTTGACCTAAAAACATGAAAAAAAATTAGCTTGGTGTGGCAGCACACATCTATAATGCCAGCTACTCAAAAGGCTGAGGCATGAGAATTGTTTGAACCTGAGAAGTGGAGGTTGCAGTGAGCTTAGATCGCACCACTGCACTTTAGCCCGGGCGGCAGAGCGAGACCCTGTCAAAAAAAACAAAAAACTCATATACAGTTAAATTTTTTTTTTTTAATTTTTAAAATTTAAAAGGCAGTGGCTCACACCTGTAATCTCAGCACTTTGGGAGGCTGAGGCGGGGGATCATAAGGTCGGGAGTTCAAGACAAGCCTGACCAGTATGGTGAAACCCCGTCTCTACTAAAAATACAAGAATTAGCTGGACCTGTATTCCCAGCTACTCATGAGGCTGAGGCAGGAGAATCACTTGAACCCAGGATGTGAGGTTGCAGTGAGCCAAGATCGCGCCACTGCACTCCAGCCTGGTCAAAAGAGCAAGACTCCATCTTAAAATAATAATTAAAAAAAATTAAAAACAAAAATTACATTTTCTCTTATTTCTGCTGTGTAAGACTCATTATAATTGTTATACCCTCTACCCTCGTGAGTTAGAAGGAAAGTGCCACACTCTGAGTTTCAACTGAGAGTCCTTTATTGCCAGTAACCGAGAAGCAGCTCATGATCAAAAATCTCTCGGCCCCGACTAGTGTGATGTGATTTCTTTTTATACCCAGTCTAGGGTAAAGGGGAGATGGAGTCTAACTGAAGCAGAATTTTACAGAAGCAGAACAAGCAGGTTAGAAGAGGAAAGCTGGTAACCAGGAGGTAGGAGCGTTCCCATAATTGTTGGTTACCAAGGGGGGTATTCCCAACAGCTGGGACACTCGCCAAGCAGGATGTGATTACAACGGTTACAAGGTGTGGGAGACAGTGGGACCCAGCTCTGCACCCAAAGGAGAAGTGGCGGGGGCTGGGAGAGAGGCTAAGATGGAGTCTACAGGCTCACATCATGATCACTAATTTTAACACTATCTAGAAAGAGTTCTTGTTTTTGTATAGATAATTGAAAGAATTGGAAATATCATTTTGCTATTTGTTCCATTTTTATCATTTTTATTCATTTTATCGTTTTATATTCATTTCTTATTGCATTTATTAGGATATCTTTGTGACATTAATTTGTCTTATTTGCTGCCATTGATAGTGATATCACTAACTTTTCATCATTAAATACAATGTCTGTTGTGGGTCTTTGTAATGCATGTATTTGGAGTAAAATAAAATTGCCTTAAGAAAAAAATCAAACAACAAGCTATCTCTAAAACCTAGCACAGCCAATATGAAAGGTTGATGAGAAAGCTCTGCTCCATCCAGGTTTTCAGAAACTAGGGTTGTCCCATCCTGCTGTTCCACAATACCCTATGCTTGAGGTCCTCAGCCATTTCACGAATCCCTTTGGCCATCTAGTAAAGCTATGGCTCTGCCTCAAAATAATGCTTTGAAGTGCATAAAATAAAATGTGTGCCATTAAAGGGACATGTAATTATAATTGCAAAGCAGTTTCAATACTGTGCAGTTTCAAACACTTCTCTTTATGTAGTTTTAAGTTTACCTTCATTATTGAAGGAAATGCTAAATTGCAGTTAAAAACTCATAGCACTAAAGCTACAATTTTCCACTCGCAGATCCAAAATTCTATTCACAGAATTTGGGGTTCTCATAAGCCCCAGTTTAAGAATGCCTACTCAAAGCATTGTAAATATCGTCATAGCTTCATAGCTTATTCTGTGTCCAAGCAAAGACAGCCTGTGAGAGGCACAGTCAGTGTATCGATGCCCAACGAGAAAGTGAAACACGTAACTTCTGGTCACACTCTGCATTAGTCAGTGTTACCCAGAGAAACAGAATAGGAGAGACATATATATATATATGTTAGATCTATCTATCTATCTATCTATCTATCTGTCTATCTATGTATCTATATCTATCTATCTCTATCTAGATAAGTAGATATATCTAACAGAATAGGATATATGTGTGTGTGTGTTTAGGATATGTATGTGTGTGTGTGTGTGTATATATATATATGTGTATACTCATACACACACACACACACACACACACACACACATATATCCTAAACACACACGCACACATATATCCTATTCTGTTAGATATGTATATATATCTCCTCCATAATCAAATCAAACAATTCGTATAATAAATCACTATGTTGAACAATAAGAACACATGGACACAGGGAGGAGACCATCACACACTGGGGTCTGTTGGGGGGAATTAGGGGAGGGACAGCGGAAGTGGGAAGTTGGGGAGGGATAATATTGGGAGAAATGCCAGATACAGGTGATGGGGATGGAGGCAGCAAACCACATTGCCATGTAGGTACCTATGCAACAATCCTGCATGTTTTGCACATGTACCCCAGAACCTAAAATGCAAAAAAGTATGTATTTAAAAAAATAATGAATCTCTCTAGATATACATAATATAATGTGTTAGAGTTATTTCTAGCTAATTAAGAACTTTCGTTGCTATTGAATCACATCAACCAATTCTTATAATAAATCACTATAGTGATGTATAATAAATCACTATATACTATTATAAGTATTTATTATATTACATATATATGTTAAATACTATATACTATTATTTTAAATATTATAAGTGATTTATTATAAGAATCAGTCATGATTCCCCTATTGTATATAAGACTGCATATAACTATATCTCAGACTGTAAGCCCTAAGCTTCCAATTCCTGTATTAGAAAAAAGTGTTTTTATTATGAAGCACAAGAAATAAATCTACCTTTATATACAGTCCTTTTCATTTAAAAGGATGGATTAAAATCTCACTATCCTTAATTTTCTATCAGGTGATAAATTAAAATAAAAATACTATCACTTTATTTTAATTTATATCCTGATATTGATATTAAAATAAAATAAAATAAATTCATAATTTATTTTATTTTATTTTAATATCAAGAGCTATTTAGTGATAGGATTATATATATATATATATATATATATATATATATATATATATCAAGAGCTATTTAGTGATGGGATTATATTAACCTTCCAGTTAGCTAATATCCAGTTTTCTTAGCTAGCTTTTACTTAGTTTTTAATTTACAATCGCGTGGTATAAGAATGTATTGTGTTTTAATTATAAAAATAGAAAGACAGGATGTATTACATAATTTCTAATAACATGTTCCTAAATTATTTGTAAAGTTCATATTAAAATATCTTTGGAAAATACTCTAGAAAAATCAATACTTTGAAATCATCTTTTAACATTTTGAATTTTTAAAAGTAGGCCAGCTGTACTAATTCCCAGTTGTTTTCCTCACAGAATTTTGGAGACTTTTCAACATATAAAATGTCACAAAATAAGTGAAAGTTCCAAATCTCAATTTTAAAGCTGACATGGTCCATCCCCTGTGAAGTTTTTCAGAGAACAGCTAAGTCAGTCTCTAAATAATTCATCTATCATTCATAGTGTTTTCACTTGACATTTTTCTTTTTGAAATTACTCTCCTGAGCTCCACTTCCCAATAGTGTACACACTGAGCACATGTGACTAAAATTAAAATTAAAATGAAATGAAATAAACTTAAAATGCAGTTCTTCAGTCACACTAGCCACATTTTGAGGTGCTGAATTGCCCTATGTGGCAAGTGGCTACCGTATTATGCAGTGTAGAAGAACATTGCTATTATTGCTGAAAATTCTATCAGGTAGTTCTGTGGAGAGGAGATTCTTTTATTAGAATTTCATCCACATGTTCTATTAGAACTATAACATTGACAGTAACAGAAACCATCCATGAGATAAACTAATTACGGATATACACAATTCTATCAGCAGCATTACTTTTCTTTTCTTTTTTTTTTTCTTTTTATGAATCAGCCTCCGTAGAGACTGCCAAAAATTGCCAACACCGACTGTATTTCAAGCCGTCATGGTGGGGTATTGGGAAAAGTTTTCAATTAGCAATAATCGCATCTCAGCTAAACCTCATTGACTACGATACTGCCACATCAGGAAAGTGACAGACTAAAATTAAAGTGTGCTTTTTCATTTCCTCAGTGATTTCCTTGCATCATTAAATTCCAGTTTTAGGTAAGATATTGTTCTTTCAAGTCCAGAAAATTTGCTCTATTTTCTTTATTTTTATAACAATCCAGAGTTTATTAATATTGAGACATTGTTACACATTTTTGTGGAAGAAATGACTTATTCTAAGCTATATCCTTTGGCAACAATTAACTATGCATTTATGAAAAACAAAAGGAAGAAAAATGAAGAAATAATTTCACAGTTTTTTCAAATGCTTATGTTGCATGTTTTAGGGAAGAGCTTGGACCTGGATGACTATTTCATGGTTTAATGAACTTTCCTCTTAGTTAACTGTGAAGAATAATTTTTTTCCTGTTAGTTGTACTTCTTCCCATTTGCTTGATTTTTCCCTACTTATGAAATCATTCTTTCTTCTAGTTTTCCTAACTTCTTTGATGAAAAAATTGATTTCCTTTCTTTTTTCTTATTGTGACAGATACCTGCCCCCCAACTCACCCCAAAAACAAAAAAAATTAACCCTAGTTCTCCTACTGAAGAAGACAAACCTGTAATTCTGTGCCAATTTTATTCGCATCCTTTGGATATTAGCAACCCTTCTGTGGCATATTACCTAAATGCGTTTTGGTTTCTGGAGCTGTGCATAAACTGTAACTCTACATGAGCTTTGGTTATTCTACCATCACACACGCAGGCATCAGACAAGGCATTTGGATAGCTGAACACCAGAAAATAACAGGCCCTTTCTCTCAGAAGGAAACATGGCAAAATAAATACATAAATAAATAAACAAATAAAACACAGCACTGAATTCAGCTGCCTAGTACTGCTAATTCTGCACAATCCAGATATTAATATAATATGAAAAATAATAAATTACTTAAAAATATTATGTTTTCACTATACTTAGTTTAATTATGAATTAACAGATTAGTAAACGTTTTTTCCTCAAACCCAACAATTGCAGTCTGGTTTAAAGAAATATTAAGAATATATATGGAAATTTAGCAATAATTAGTTGCAGCATAGTTTATAATTTGAAAAAAATGGAAGAACTTAATATAAAATATAAATGATTAAACAAATATATCAGGTCCACGATGGGAAGACTTTTAAACCCTTTTTTCCAAATCAATCTATACATTCAATGAAATTTCAATAAAAATTGCTCTGTGCTTTTTTCCACTGAAGTTGACAAAGAAACGTAAGACTCATATGAGAAGATAAAGATCCCAAAATGTCCATTGACTTTTGAAGTAGTTTAAACAGAGGATTTGTTCTATCAAATATCAGGATATATTTTTAAAAATTCTACATTGTTTATGATAATGTGATATTGGTGCAAAATTATGGAGTACTTGTTGGACGTGTGCAGGAGGTGACCCTCATAAGTGTGTTCATGTTAAAAACATGTGTGTACAGAAAAATATTTACGGCCTGCACAGTGACTAATGCCTGTAATTCTAGCGCTTTGGAAGGCCGAGGCAGGAGAATTGCTTGAGCCCAGGAGTTTGAGACCAGTTTGGGCAACACAAGCCCATTTCTACGAAAAATAAATTTGAAAAAATTAGTTCAGGTGTCATGGTGCACACCTATAGTTCCAGCTACTCTGGAGCCTGAGGTGAGAGGATTGCTTGAGCCTGGGAGATCAAGGTTGCAGTGAGCCTGATTGCACCACTGCACTCTAGCATGGGCAACAGAGCGGGATTTCCTCTAAATAAAAAATTAAGATTTGCCAACAACTGAGTGGTTATCTAGTTACATATGAAGTTGCTAACACATTTCATTTTCTTCTTTTTATTTCTATTGTTAAACAGTGTGTTTGTATTTCTTTATAATTTAAAGCACATTATTTTATTGATTGATTCTTTTAGTCCAAAGCTTTCCTTTTTGGGAACATTAGTGTACAAAAGTTGTTATTCTACATGCAATGAATTCCTTTATATGAATCCCAAAAATATAAAGTATTTTATTTTCTTATCCCTGAAAACCATAGCCAATGTGGCTGATTTATGGCATGATCATTCAGCTTTCTCTAGGTTCAGTTAGCAATGCCAGATGAAAAGTTCAAAATCATCTGGTCTCTGAAGCAAAATAAATGTCGAAAGAACTATTAAATGTCAACAAGAACTGCTAACAAAATAAGTTTCACCTAGTTAGTTAACATGTTAAGACAGCAGTGGATTTCGCTTACTTAGAGGAGAATCAAATGCCATTTTGGGCAGAAGTTTGCCAATTTACTAAAAGCTATAGCGCATATTCTCAAAGAAGCAGTGCTCTCCTCATTTGTGGCTCACGTCATGGTTGTTACAATGATCCTAGGGTCTAGGAGAGGTAAAATGGGCCCTGTGAAAACCAGGCTGTCCCCACTGAGGCTGTGGGACGCTCTACAGGCCAGGTCCGTAGGCCAAAGGAGAGAGGGTGGATTATAGCATCTGACCACAATTCACATGGACCAGGCCACGAGGGAAAACAACTACTGGATCAGAAAAAGAGAGGGTGGGCACAAAGCAGCAAATGTAATGAAAACAGCATATCATAGCCAAAGATACCATAAAGGTTAAAGAAACGCTCATTAAAAAAAAAAAAAAAAAAAAAAAAAAAAAAGCAACTATTATAGGATAAGGGAAGATGCCATCAGGGCTAGAAAACCAGGCTTTGCTCCCATCTACAAATAATTTGACTTTGGACAATTTAAGATTTTATTTTATTCTTTTAGTTTCAGTACCCATTAAGATAACATATGCATTTTTAAGTTTTACGGATAACCTGGAAAATACTCATCACCTCGTAGATAATAGCTCTTATTATAGTCGTAAAAGGAACATATGGAGGTAAAGGAAGTTTTTTTTTGTGGAGCAGTCTCTAATGAACTCTGCAGATGCCTGATGCTGTCAACAGTGATGAGTTCCTTCTGGATGATTTTATTATTCAAATAAGGCAAACACTATCAGAAGGTCCATAGAAAATGGAGTTTGTAAGTGCATTATAGATAAAATAGTTATAATTTATATCAAATTTGATTGGTCCTTTAGAGATTTATAAATAATAATTTATGTAATATGATATAGGAAAATGAAAGAAATCTAGTCATATAATAGTTACAACAAGCCAAGCACCGTTTAGTTGGACACTATATATACATTCGAATCTACTGAATATATATATTGACATCTGCTGAATATATGCATATATTCACTAGAAACTTTGTACTTATTTTTGAATAATTCAGCTAATATTTCCTAAATGCTTGTCATTTGCAATACTCTATTCACTGCTGCTAATTTTGAATAAAATGAAGTCCCCGACCATTGCCATGAACATTGACTAAAGTAATTGCTAAAATATTTCCTGCAGAAGTGATTGGACCATGACAGCTTTCAAATGACTGACTAGGGAAAACTTCAATTAGGTTTGTATCCTTAGCTTAAAAAAAATGAATGAATGGGAAGTGACATGTGAATTCAATTCAAGATTTAAACATCTTTTAGCTTAAAAGACAAAAATAATATTTTTCACGTTTTAAATAAATATATATGTATTTTTGTGTATATATACGTGTGTGTATGTGTGTGTGTGTCTGTCTGTGTGTGTACAGCATTTTTTTAGTAGAGGAAAATGTTGCCATTAAGCACTCAGGAGAATGCAATTTCAAACATTCAGCAATTGACAATGGACTTCCTTACCCACTCTGTTCTCAAATATAATCAGGCTTAAGTTATTGTTTCGCCACATTGGCTAGGTGGGTCTCAAATTCCCTACCTCAGATGTTCCACCGCCTTGGCCTCCCACGTGCTAAGATCACAGGCATGAGCCACCGCATCTGGCCGAAAGGCTGTTCTTTTTCAAATCTCAGTCATTAAAAAGAGAATTTGAATACTAAGGAGCAAAAGCATAACCAAACCAAAAATTATCCACCATGCTTACACTAATAATGTTTTAAAAATAAATCCTCACAACAAATATTAAAAGTACATGTCATTACATACATATCACACATGGTAGCCTAATACTCTAATAAAATTACTTCCCCAAATTCATTTAAAAAATGCCAAAACTATGCTTCAAATACTGGATCTTATTTTACTGTGTTGAAAAAACAAAACAAAACAAATACTCTCACATTTCAGTATTACTATTTGTTCTTTAGATTTTAACAAAATATTACTTCAAATGTGTGTGCTTCTAGATATAATTAAAGGGGCACTTCTGGATATAATTATCATGAGTACTTTTTGGTGTGCCATATCCACTCAATTTTGTGTTTTATCTTATCTAGATGATTTTAGCTCAGCAAAGACCAACGAAATGGAAAAAGAAAACATTTGTCAAAAATGGTTAGTAAATTTTTAATTTATACAGATTCTGCATAACATGATAAGAAAACATCAGAAAATACAGATTACTGTTTAAAAACCATTTTCAACTTCACATTCACTTTTACTGGTCTTAGTAATTCATCCATGTTTAGGGTTTTCAATGTTCACTGTTGTCATTGACTTACCCTGCTTTCCTTTTCATATTTGCATTGATGTAAAAAGGTAATATTTTAACGTTAAGATTACTCTACTTAGACTTTTTAAATCCCTTTCACTCAGTAAAAGTGTAAGGTTTTTTTTTGTTTTTGTTTTTGTTTTTTTTTTTTTTTTTTTTTTTTTTTTTTTTTTTTTTAGCTGCATGTGGTGGCACACCTGTAATCCCAGCCCACTCGGGAGGCTGAGACAGAATCACTTGAACCTGGGAGGCAGAGGCAGTGTACCACTGCACTCCAGCCTAGGCGAGAGAGCGAGACTCTGTCTCAAAAAAACCCAAAAAAATCGTTTATGTTTTCAAAAGAACCAAGAGAAGCAGGGTCCAGGCACATTTTTTCTTCCTGTATCGTCCTAGGATGATGGGGAAATTTCCCCAAAACTATGTGATTGCATGTATTAGGTGGGTGTTAGACTAGGGGACTGGGGGTCAGTGGGGAAGACCTTTTGTGGGAGGTGTTCTTCTGAGCCATTCTTGACAACTCTTTTCTCCTTCCTTCTGGAAGTTTCTGGCACTGGAGGTGGAGGCATGGCGTGTCAGGGGTGGAGGTCCAGACTGCATGTTCCTGGCACAGGGCACATAGCCTGGCTGGGCTGGCTGTGGATAGGTGAGAACATGTGGGTGGGCCCTCGGCTCTGGCCACCGAATGCCCCACGCTGCCTTGTCAGCCAGGAGCCCCCCACTCCTGCTCCGGCATCAGAAGAGCTGTTCGCAGATCCTGCGTGTGTCCTCAGGCGCTGTCACGGAGTGGCCCACGGTCCTAGGGTCTGTGAAGATCTCATGGTCATTGCCACCTGGCATGGTTTTGTCTCCAAAGAAATGAATGGTCCTATAACCATCATTTTCCACATGTCGCAGGCAGTATCTCTTGTCCCATCCATCAGGAAAGACGTCAAAGCTGATCTGGCCTCCTATGGAAAATGTGAGGCCTTTTCCCGTGAACTCTTTCTGTAGATCTACTACAAACTTTTGTCTTATATTTTCTTTTTTATCGAGTTCGTAGAACTCAATGCGTTCTTCTTGGCTGCAGCTTCTCCCAATAGGGGACACATTTAACATTCCATTTCGGAATTCAATGAAAGTACCCCTCTTCTTTGGGAGTTTAATTTTTGCAATGTAGCTCAGACAGTAGTTGATGTAAAATGAGGAAACTGAGGCAAGTATGAGAAAATGAGAAGCCAATTTATTCAGCTCCCGGGCGAGGTTCTGTGGTCCAAGAAGAGGCCATAGAACTCCTGCCCAGCTGCTTAGGTCATGGGGTTTTATGGGGATGGAAGGCGATTGATTGGCTATTGGGGAAACAAAGTAAAGGCAATTTTATTGGCTGTCAGAAAGCAGGAAGTGCCTGAAACTAGTTGCTGTTGGTAGGCAGGAGGGACTTTGGGTAAGTGGGCCTTGATTGACTGCTGGGGAAACAAAGTGAATGCAATCTTATTGGCTATTAAGAAGCAGGAAATGCCTGTAGCTAGTGGTTATGGGTAGGTGGGCTTTCCCAGGGGCATGCAGAGGAGACTGCTACCAGGCAGGGTCTGATGGGGCTTCTTTAAAAAATTTTCCTACAGGGTTTATCAACAGCGAGCTGGGGGTTGAATGCATAATTTAGTGCTAAATGTGGGCTTGGGTCTGGTATGCTAAGGTGGTTGTGGGGAAACCCTGCCGCAAGGCCAGAAAACGAGCTCGGATGACGCAGTTATCAGCTGTGGAGAGAGATGGATGTGCCCCTTTAACCCTCTGCGAGGCAGCCGGCCTTACAAAAAGAAATTAGAATATTCCAAACTTTACAAAAAATTGAACATCTTCTCATTTCATCAATTACAAAGAGAATTGTGATACAACATTTCATTTGATGCACAATAAAGTCTTCAGTTCTGCAGAGAAGGCAGTTTGTTTCCGAGAGCATAACTGTTTTGCTCCATGTCATATAGTATTAACCCAGATTTTCTAGCTGCCCTGCCCCACACTGCAAGTTGAGGTAATGGATGCATAATCATGTTTTCATAATTTAAGTGAAAAACCAAAGGTTATAGCCATTACAGATGACTGTCTCATTTAATATCTATATTAAAAGGACATTTCATAGAATGTGAAGGTAGTTGTGACATAGTGAAGAAAATATATGGTTAACTACAGTTGAGAGATTGATTATTTAAAATTACTCATGAAGGATCCCAGGAAACGGTGATTTTCTTTTTTTTTTTTTCCTTTTCTTTCCCCCATCCCCAAGTACATAGTATATTATGCATAAGAATTGCTGGCACAAATTTAAGAAAGAAAAAGTCAATGGGAATTGAAGTAGGTTTTAAATGGGAAAGGCAAGAAAGGTTTGGCTAAGGGTGGGGGATAAATGGATGAAGAAAACTGTGTTTCCAAGTTCTTTCTTAGGAGTATAGTAACTTCCTAGGCAGTCCCTGTGCTAAACAATATGTAGGAACCCATTATCTTCCTGCAATCCTTATCTTTCTTCTGTTACGGTAACCAAAAGGCAGAGACAGCTGCAATAATAATAGAACTAAATTCATAATGTGATTTGATCAAGTTGTCTCACTTCTAATAGTAAAAAACTTATTATAAAGCATCACAGTGTAAGAAGAACAATGACTTCTTGGCACTATTTTATTTCTACTTATGTTGTTTCCATTCAGGTGTAAACAAAATATTACAAGCCACACCCTTTAGTGACATTGTGTGTGTCAAATAAGGTTTGGCTTATGTAACTTGTACAAAATCAAGCATCTAGGTAACAATAAACAGGTATTAACGATTTTCATCTGAAGACACAGCTTTAAAAATTATTGACTATGTTTTTAAGAAAATGCCGTTAATCAATTGGAATGTAAATGGTGTAATAAAAGCAGTGTAAAAAACATATTTTTCCTTGAAAAAAATAAATAGAATCCAGAGCCAATTTTGCCAGGTGTTATTTATTTAGGCTTCATTTCTTTTAGCCTGTGTACAAGAAAAAATGTTAAATACAAAGAAAAATTAGTGTTTCTTGTATTTTAATCTGTCATTTTATTTCCTTTAGAACATTAAAGTCTACATGTGATGAAGGAATAAATAATAATTTATATCGATTACATGAATTCTATAGTCCATATCTTCTGACGGAATTGCTACATAGAATTTCATATTCTTAATACTATCTCAAAATTATCTCAATTTAAATTCACATACTGGTGCTTTTGCCAAAAACATGAGGTATTTTCCCATTTTCTTCTTCTACTATGGGGTTCTGTCAATTATATATAAATGAAAATATAATGAATAGAAGAAGCTTATAAATGTAATTAATGGATTACGTTTTATGACAATTGTGTAGATAAATAAATCTCATAACTAAAACATCATGGATTTAGAAGAAATATCTTTAGAATCTGTATGTTTTTATAGTGCTCTACTTAATTAATTTGAAATGTTACTGAAAATTATGAAGTGTGGAAAAAAAGAAAAAAAACAGAGTTCTTAAGAGAAGTTTAAAGAATAACCTGAGCAATGCCCAAGGAGGTAGTAATTCTTATGACAGATTTTAGGCTACACCAAGACATGTTTTCCACTTCCCTGAATAAACCTACCTTTTCACTGGATTCAAGTGCATGGGCACATTATCAAGATTTGCAAAGGCACATTTAAAAATGTTAGATATTCATGGTTATAGTTGTTGTGGTTTAGAAATCCTGCATCTGAAAATGAATTAGAAAAGGGGTATTTTTGGTGGAAGGTGTACATTTAAAAGAAAATCTCTTAACCTTCATTTATATTGTGAAATAGAAAAAGATGACTTCCACCGTTTATATTAAACTTATATTTTATTAATTTGTAGTGAGGCATATATAGAACTCCATTTTCTTTTGATCAGCTATTGGAGATAATGCAAATGTAATTAACTAGCCTATGGTGAACTTCATTTTTCAATTTCATTAAAGGTCAGAAGTTATCTAAATCCATTTAAACAATTGAAAGGAAATTAAAGACTGACACTTACTGAGACAAAGTTTTAAAAAAAGATGCAAGACTTAACTTGAATCTGCTGAGTAACTTTGGTGGAGGTGATTTCTGAGAAGGTTAGAAGCAGGAAGTAAGCTCACCCACTGAGTAGTAGGAAAGAAGAAATGAGGGTGAAGAAAGGGATATAAGCCTATTTTCTTTTTATAAAATTATCTTAAAAGTAACCCAACCATGAAGGCAGTTGTTATCTGGCCTGTGCTAAGGAATACACAGTGATTTTACTTCCTCCAGGGTTCCTGTATTAGTCCGTTTTCACGTTGCTGATAAAGACATACTTGAGACTGAGCAATTTAGAATAGAAAGGAGTTTAATGGATTCACAGTTCCATGTGACTGGAGAGGACTCACAATCATGGTGGACAGCAAGCGGGGCAAGTCACACCTTACGTGGATGGTGGCAGGCAGAAAGAGAGCAGGGGTGCAGGGAAACTCCCATTTCTAAAGCCATCAGATCTCATGAGACCCATTCACTATCATAAGAACAGCATGGGAAATACCTCCCCAACCCCGCTCACCACCAAGATTCAATTATACCCCTCTGGGTCACTGCCACAACACATGGGAATTATGGGAGCTATAAGATGAGATTTAGGTGGGGACATAGAGCCCAATTTTTATTTTTTTATTTTTATTTTATTTATTTATTTATTTTTTGAGACGGAGTTTCGCTCTTGTTACCCAGGCTGGAGTGCAATGGCGCGATCTCGGCTCACTGCAACCTCCGCCTCCTGGGTTCAGGCAATTCTCCTGCCTCAGCCTCCTGAGTAGCTGGGATTACAGGCACGCGCCACCACGCCCAGCTTATTTTTTGTATTTTTAGTAGAGACGGGGTTTCACCATGTCGACCAGGATGGTCTCGAACTCTTGACCTCGTGATCCACCCGCCTCGGCCTCCCAAAGTGCTGGGATTACAGGCTTGAGCCACCGCGCCCGGCTCAATTTTTAAAAGTAGGGTAAGAAAAGGGAGGGCTATGATCTTACTATGGACAGACAAATAGTTGTACCATCATGATGAGTTTTCTTGTGTAAGGTGAGGAAACGTGGCAGGAACAACCCAAATGTCATTCAAGAGGATAAATAAAATATGGTACATACTTACAATGGAATGTTATTCAATCAAAAAAAGGGAATGAAATTCTGAGCCATGCTACAACATGAGTGAAACCTGAAAGCATTATGCTAAGTAAAACAAAACAGATGCAAAAGATATAATGTGTGGTTTATTTATATGAGGTTCCTAAATTAGGCAAATTTATCTTATTATTATTATTGTTATTATTATTTTGAGACAGAGTCTCTGTCACCCAGGCTGGAGTGCAGTGGCACAATCTTGGCTCACTGCAACCTCCGAATTAGGCAAATTTATGAGAGACAAAAGTATACTAGAGTTTACCGCAGGCTGCAGAGGGGGGAATGAGAAATTATTGTTTAATAGGTACCGAATTTCTGTTTGAGGTGATGAAAAATTTTAGAAATGGATAGCAGTAAGGTTGGCACAACACTTTGAATGTACTTACTGCTATTAAGTGGTACACTAAAAAATTGTAAAGATAGCAAATTTTATGTTATATATTTTTACCACAGTAAAAAAAAAAAATTCTAGGAGGAATAAAGAGAAAAGTGTAGAATAGTTGTAGAAAACTAATTAATCTTTATCTAAAATTAAGAATACCTTAGAATTATATTTATCTTCAGTAAATCAAAATATTTAACTTGTTTCATTTTTATTATGTGAGTTAACAAATGAAAATCTAATCAATGTTAGTCTCTAATATAATGTTGTATCAGTATGTGTAAAGGTTTCAAGTTTAAATAATTTATTCACAAAAAATAGCTACCAAAGAATTGTCCTTTAGCAATTGCAGCCTTGACCACATGAACCTTCAAAAATTTATTTCCAAGCTTCCCCCACCGTTCAGTATGAACTTCTGCCTACATTTCTGGATTTGAGATAGAGGGTACTTGAATTTATTGGGAGTCAGTGGGTATTATTTCAGTATGTCAGAAGCCAGGTAGGATGTATAGAGATTAAAAAATAGGTTATGAGACACTACAAAATCATATCTTTTCTGACCCTTGAAATAGAAAGAGAATTTGTTTGGAAAGTAGAATTTCAGTGGACAACTT